GGTTACCTAGTGCTTTTCCTACTTGCTGGACATCCCCATAAGGTTTAATGCCCTTGTGACAATATTGGGGGTGGCAGGAATTTTAAGAGTGGGACTAATGGGAAGTTTTTAGTCATGAGGTGTTCCCTTGAAGGGGAGGTGGGACCCTTGTTTCTTCCTCTTTTTCTCTCATGTCCTGGCTGTGAGGTGAACAGCTTTGCTCCACCACACGCTCCCTGCCACGATCTGCCACCTCTGGCCTAAGAGCAGTAAGGTCATCCCATTATGGACTGAAACCTCCAAAGTGTATCCAAAATATACCCATACTCTTTTTCTTCCCTAGTACTGGAGATTCAACACAGTGAGGACTAAACTACATCTCTAGTACCTCCCATTTTTTTGGTATCAGGTATTGAACTCTGGGCCTTGAGCTTGCAAGGCAGGTGGTGGAACCACTGAGGTGAATCCCTGGCCCTCCAGCCCTTTTTATTTAAAGACTGAGCCTTAAATTCCACAGGATGAGCTTGAACTTGTGATCCTCCTGCCTCAGCCTCCCCTAAGTTGCTGGGATTGTGTGTACCACCATAACCAAGTTTTTTTCCCTGATTCTTGAAATACAGCATAGTGCTGATTAAATATCCTAAACACTAAATATATTTTAGACTCCGGTCTCTCTTCTATTCCTCAGGAGAGTATTGATATTTTTGTTTTAGTATGCAATTAAATTTGGCTGTACTCTAACTATAAAACCCTTGTCTCTCAGGCAGTAAGCTAAAATCTTACTTCAGGCTCTAACTGGTTGGTATGCTTGTAATCTGTGCACATGACTGGTTCCCAGATTACACAAAGGCTTGTAACATAATTTATTTTATACATAGAAAAAAAATTTTTTTTTGTACTGGGGATCGAACTTGGGACCTTGTGTTTGCAAGGCAGGCAGTGGCATCTGTGAGCTAAATCCCCAGCCCTCATTGTGATCTTATTTTTAAAAGTTACTTCAGATTCACTCTAAGTATACAAATTCACTTTTAATAACAAAACAGGAATTATTCTATACACTTTGTTTTGTAACTCACCTGTTTTCTCACTTTAAGCATACCTAACAAAAACTCTTTTAGGTAGTTCAATAATGATTAAAAATGAAAATAATACAAATTGCGGAGGCTGTAGCTAAGTGATACAGCATTGGGCTAGCAAGGCCCTGAGGTCCATCCCCAGCACTGCACAACAAAAACAAAAGCAAAAATCAACTGGGAATAATAACAATAACAACATAGTATCTATATGCCTTCCTATTTCCTTGCATTCTTGCCTATGCTAAATTGGATACTAAAATTCAAAAACCTATCTTTATAAAAAACAAAACCAGGGCCGGGGATTTAGCTCAGTGGTTCGGGCTCCTGCCTTGCAAGCACACCCTGAGTTTGATCCCAGTACCAAAACAGACAAATAAAAAACAAAACCAAACAAAAAAAACAAAACCCAAAAACAACTCTTATCTTTATCACTTTAAGTGTATGTGTATGTGTGAGGATCTAGTCCCTCCCTTCCCCTATCCCAACTATTACAGAATATCACAGCAGAATTACTGAGCAACAACCTATAATATCAAGTCTTCATTACGGGCCAGGGATTTAGCTCAGTGGTACCACACCTGCCCTGCAAGCACAAGTTCCTGAGTTCTATCCCTAGTACCAACAACAACAAAAAAGTCTTTATCATGAACTGGTACATAATATGAAATTCCAAAAGAAACATACCATTAATATTTTTCATTATTTCTATTATTAATACGACACATTTCTGCCTAGGAACTTTAGACAAAACATAATTACAGAACTATTTTTATTTTAAAGAAGAAATACTATTATTCATGTATACTTATTTAAAATTAGGAAGCCAGGGCTGGGATATAGTTCAGTGGAGCTGTACCTGCCTCACAAACGAAAGGTCCTGAGTTTGATCCCTGGTACCATCCCCCCCCAAAATAAAATAAAATAAAATTAGGAAGCAAGCATGATGCTTCATGCCTATAATCCCAGGTACTTGGGAAGCTGAGGCCTATAAATTCAGGGTCAGCCAGGGCAATTTAGTGTGTTCCTGTCTTAAAATAAATAAAATGGTCTGGGGATGTACCCCAGTGGTAGAGTACTTGCCCAGCATATACAAGTTTAATACCCAGCATCACAACAAATAAAAACAAAACCCACTAGAGGTTTGACGCATTTAAATGAAATGATTTACATTTTAAAACATTGCTTCATGAAATATTGTAATTCTAAAAGATTTTCAATTATTAAACATTCCAGCCTCTGATTGTATCAGTCTTTTTTAATTAATCTAAAAATATCAACCAATCATAAACTTGGTCATTGACAAATGTCCTGATTCCATTGCCCCTTTCATCTTTTATGCTACATTAACTTAGTTGGGCACTACCAATAATTAGTAATTACCTACTTCTTTACTTCCAACAACACTGTAAAGCATGGCAAAACAATTATCAACTCTATTAACAAAGGAAGATGCTGACCCAGTTAGGGTAGTTGTCTAAAGTTACACGAGAGCAGAAAAGTGCTAGAATCAGGAATAAGGGAGGTTTTGTAGCTTCTTATATGCTGCTTCTTCTTTTTTTTTGTTGTTTTTTGTTTCTTATTTTTTTTGAGACAGGGTCTTGCTATGTAGTTGAGACTGACCTGGAACTCATTATGTAGCCCAGGCTGGTCTCCAACTCACAGTAATCCTCCTGCCTCAGCCTCCCAAGTGCTGGGTGCTGGAGAGACAGGGTCTTGCTATGTAGTTGAGACTGACCTGGAACTCATTATGTAGCCCAGGCTGGTCTCCAACTCACAGTAATCCTCCTGCCTCAGCCTCCCAAGTGCTGGGATTACAGGTGTGCGCCACCACACCCAGCTTCTTTATTCAAAAGTACCTGAAAGAATTACAACTCATAAAGAAATCTAGAGGGTACCAGAGCCAGAGAATATTAGAATAATTGAAGACCACCTATTTCAACATTCTGATTTTACAGATAAAGAAACTGAGGCCCAGAAAGTTACTGAAAGTCATACTTCTCAACACAGTAAAGGTCAGGTGTGGCACCACACGCCTATAATCTCAGCACTGTGGGAGGCTGAGGTAGGAGGACTGCAATTTTGAGCGCAGCCTGGGCAACTTAATGACTTAGTGAGACTCTGTCTCAAAATAGAATATAAAAGAGCTGAAGATGTATCTTAGTATGAAGGGTCTGAGTTCAGTCCCTAGTACTGCAAAACAAAAAAACACAAGTAGTAAAGAAAGAATTAAAATCTAGTACTTTTTAATCCAAACTCAACAATTTTAGACACAGCATTCCTCAATTCAAATCCAGTTATCTTTAATTATGAGATAACTTTATCCTTAATTATTTAAATTTTTGGGTTCATCAAAGACCTTGATGTACTGGTAATCCAAGAAATAATTAGCCAGTGCCTATGATGTGCCAGGCCCTGCTAAATCTGACGGAATATTTACTAGGAACTACACATTTTCACATTTAATCCTCACAATATCATTATAACATTAAGTACAATAGTATTTGAAAAAAGGATCTATTAGCGAAATGTGAAAATGACATACATAGCACCTAACACTAAATAAGGTTTTTTTTATTACTGGGGATTGGATTGAATGTGGGGCCTTAGGCCTGCAAGGCAGGTGACAGAACCACTGAGATAAATCCCCAGCCCAACAGTGAGTAAGTTTAGAACTTAGATATGTTATACTGGAGGTTGGAGGAGAGCTTTAAATATCCCTCTTTTTCCCCTTGTACTTTCTAAGACCTCAGAGTTGAGAGCATTTGAAGTAATCTATCTGAAAGCCAAATGCTAGGGAAGTGATCATTTCAAATAAAGAGACAAGAGAAGATCTTCTATTCCTGAGTGCCCAATCTGTGGCCCACCTGTTTTCCTTCCCTTTAAAAATTGTCATAGGGAGCTGGGGATTTGGCTCAGTGGTTCCACTGCCTGCCTCACAAGTGCGAGGGCCCGGGTTTGATCCCCATTCCCCCCCAAAAAAAGTTACAGTAAAACATATCTGAAAATAAAGGAATACATTAAGCATATATCTATTAAGTAACTCATATACTTTATGTGCAGCCCAAGATAATTCTTCACCCAGTATCACTGAGGCAAGCCATGATTGTGGCCTAAAGAATATTAAATAAGGTTCAAAGTAGAAGAATGAATGAGTTTCTCTCGGGTATTACTCCAAAATAGTACTATAAAACCAGTCACCTACTTTCAGAGCATAGGATCCCTGAGGTATATGATCAAATTAATTAAAAGTTTCATTTACTGTCTTTCCCAACAGGAATACCTTTGTCTTTGATTGCTAAGTAAATTTCATTCAGTCCTATAAAAAAATCCAAGCGCTTAGCAGTGTAACATATTACGGATACTTAAAAATATGAAATAAGTTTTATAAATAAGAACATATTGGTATTCTTTTTTTTTTTTGGTACTGGGCTCAAACTCGGGCCCTTGTGCTTGCTAGGCAGGTGGCAGCACCAATGAGTTAAATCCAGGACAGATACCAGTATTCTTAAAAGTAGCAATCACCCTCAGGCCAACCTGTAAGGAAAGGACCTTAAAATAACTGAAACATTAGAATTTTTTTTGAGACAAGATCTCACTATGTAGTCCAGACTGGCCATGAACTCACTATGGAGCCTAGGCTAGTCTCGAATTCAGTGATCTTCCTGCCTCAGCTTCCCAAGTGCTGGGAGCACAGGCATACACCACCATGCCTGTGCTAAAAATAATTTTTTAATTTACAAAGTGGTCTACTGCTTTAGGAAATACTGGTATAGGGAAAGTAAATCAACTAACTAATTGCTGAAAAAAAGAATTTGCCTTAACTCACAATACAATTTATAGTCTAGTTCTAGTTCATAAACAAGCGAGAGACTAAGAAAAATGCCATTCTGGTAAGTAATCACAGCAGAATCAAACACATGCAGTATTTCTAATGTAAATGGTTACCTGAGAAGTCTGTCAGAAGTCTTGCTAGGACATGCTTGTTTACCAGTTCAGTCTTGCTAAGGCTGGAAATAACATCTACCCTAGTTTCTTTGAAAAGAGTGGGCTTTTTGGAAATTCCAAGATCAGATCCAATCGTGACATCTGTATATTCTAGAACATCATACGGTCTCTGTGGCCAGGATTCTGGAGCAAATGTTTGCTTAAATCTTTCTTTAGAAGGAAATTCTTCTTCCTGAGCAGAAGCTGACTTCTGAGCCTGTCTTTCCCCTAGTTCTTTAAGGGCTCTGATTGTGAGCTGCTCTTGTTCTAGGTCAAGAGATGCCACTGGAACCTGGTTAGGGAAAACACCTAGAATCTCATTTCCATTTGTTTCTTTGCTTTGTTCAATGTATTTTCTTTTAAAGTTTTCAATTTGAAAACTGCCTGACTCATTTTCATGCAAGACTTCTAAAGAAAGAGTTTTTTTAAAGTCTGTCGTCTTTTCTGATATTGCTTCAGAGATATTTCTTTCCTCTTTATCTACTATTCCTTGCTCTCTGGTTTCTGTAAAGACTGCTATCAAATCCTCTGGGGAGGAATCATCTACATCTTTAACATGTTTTCCATGTAATGACTCCAAATTGGCAGAAGCCATCACATTTAGTGAGAATTTTGTCTCATTAAATGCATTTGGAGGTACTGCTGAAGGAAGTTTCGGGTTGTCAGTTGTAATAAGGTTTCCAGGAGCAACCTCACTCACAGTATCTGACTGCTTCCTGTCTTTCGATATGACGTTTGTATATGGTACCTGTGAAGACATTTCCTCATAAACTGGACTTCTTCCAAGAATATCAGGCAGAACTTGATGCAGCTCAGAGTCACTGATTGGCTCTTTAGAATTTTTAGAGGTTTTATTTTCTGTCATCTTACAACTGGGAATCTCCTTGATCTCCCTTTCATCTGTTTTCACAACAGCATCTGGAGTGGAAACAGGTTTTTTGTTATTTTCAAATGATCTGTCTGCTGTGATGTCTTCTATAACTGTGTCATCAGACTCACCAGAACTATCAGCCTCAGTGGTTTCTCCTAGCACTGAGCTCTGCCAACTTATTTCATCCTTCAGGTGGTCATCAGATAAAACCACTTTCGCTGTAACCACTTTGTGTGGAGATCCAAGTACTGCTGAAAGCATGTCATCTTGTCTTTGTGCATTGCCTTGCACACCTCTCACACTGACTCCTTCTACGGGACTCAGACAGTCTCTTACTGGTTTTCCAATTTCAGTGTTTTCTTGTGGGAGAGAATCTTTTGTCCAGTCACCTGCGGGTTTGGTTATGGCAGTGCTCCCATTAATAGAGCATACAGGAATTTTCTGATGATTGTTCATTTTAAGGTTTACCACTGGAATTTCTGAAGGACAGTCATTTCTATTAAGTCCTGTATTTTCTGTGGTATAATCAGATTTGTCAGTCTGCTGTTTCACTTGGGGAACCAAATTCCATGTCAGTATTTCATTAGTAAAATTATGCATATCACTCACACATCTAGAGACCTCTTCCAGTGCTGCAGTTGTGTGTGAAAATTGTCTAGTGAGCAATGCAGAGGTTGGGTAATGTCCTGCCTCTTTACTTCTCAGTGGAAACAATTTGTCATTAGTCTCCAACATGTCTGTAGGTGATTCTCTATCACTGTGCACTGCCCAGCTAGCCAAATCACTTGTGCTCTTCTTATACGAATCTTTAAATTCTCTGTCAAATGCAGCTTTGTCAATAATTACTTCGAATGGTGATTCAGGGGAGACTTTCTCTATAATACCACCACTTGAAACTCCAGATGGGGACACGGAATATGTACAAATGCCTTCTGCCTTAGAATGCTCAGCGGGCGTTTCCTGGGCTGTTAGCAAAGTGAACCTGTCATCTTTATCTTCAGCAGTTTTATCCCTACTTGGAACCTCATTTGGGTTCTTGGACTCTTGGTCTTTATTTACTTGGTCTTCTACTTGACTACCTTCCTTTGAGAGAAAAGCAGGATGTTCTGGGAAACTGGTTGGAATGGAGGGGCAGTTATAAGGAACTCCTGGTGCAAGAGAAACTGGAGACTCTGCTCTGTCCTTACTGGTCCCCTGAGGCTTTTCCATCTTGTTCGTATCTAGAAGAGCCAAGTGGGCTTTTCCTTCTTTGGCTATAACAGGCTGGCTGCCTAACACTTCACTTTTTTTCCCATGGAGTGTTGTATGGTCAGGGTTATGTATTTCAGAAGATGAAAGAAAGGAGGAAGTCAAAATTTCTGAAGGTGGCTCATCAGAGCAAAGAGAGCTCAATTCCTCTATGGTCAGAATGTGAAAGAAAAAAAAATTGTTTACCAGGTACAATTATGCATTAGTCAGTCAGGCCAAGCTGCATGCGTTTTTATTTTTAAATTACACACAATATATACACACGTATGTATATATGCACACACACATATATATACATATATACACACAAATATGTAACAAAACAATGACCAACAACTATACCAAAAGACATGCATAAAAACTACTAACAGTGAAACAGAAAAGCCATATCATGCTACAAATTACAAAAATTTTTCATAACGAATTATTTTTTAATCAGTCTACTTCTTTTTCAACTGCAAAAGTAAAGCATAAAGAAGAGAAATGATATTGGGAAATATCAGGAAGTGTTTTTCTTTTTTGGGGGGTAGAGCTATTCAACAGGAAAAACAATTCAAGGGCCAGGTATTTAGCTCAGTGGCATCATGCCTGCCTTGTAATCACAAAGTCCTGAGTTCGATCCTTCATGGTGGTGGGGGACAATTCATACAAAACAATTTGGTGGTATTAATGAAGCACTGATAAACTTTCATCTTCAGGCTAGAAAATAACCCAGAACACAGCCTCTATAAATCCACTGTTATGGTCTCACAATCTGAAAACAGAAAAAGTGGACTGCATTCCTTTTGATCTTCAGGAGATAGAGCAGACCTTTCCTAAACCTGAAAATGAGACCAGAATTTTTCTATTCTATCCACAAGAGAGATCCATCAATCGTTTAAATGGCTCAATGTTCTAACTAAAAGGCACCAAAAAGGTTGCTGTACTTTCTACCTCTCTTATACCACACTTGCCATTTTAATAAAAATTGATTGGTCAAATTAGTTTCTTTGGTTAAGACAGTTAACTTCAGAAGTCCTTTTAAAGCAGATGTAATGCATTAAGTCTTAGTTATTAATACCCTGTAATCATTAATTTACCACATTATTTTCCATCTTTCCATACTACCAAGCTTTATTAGAGAAAAAGATCAAAACCACCATCTGCAGGGATTGTATCTCTGGAACTGGAACAAAGTGGGTCTTAAATAGTTCTAAATAAATGAACCAAAGATTCAGCTTTGTCAGGTGAGTTAGACCTAGGAGGTTTCAGGATAGCAATGCCTTTCATCATGAATAAGTAGGGAGGTGTGAATGAGAAATTCTTTTGGGATTAACTTTATATTCTTTTTTGTGTGAGAACCTAGTATTAAATACAGTGGACCTTCAAGTTATGACCAGCCTGACATACAAACTTTGGTTACAACCAGAATTTTAGTTTTAACTTACAACCAAAGTCTCCAGTTCCAGCTGCTTGTGCTTCCAGATTGTCTCAGATACAGATTTAACCCTTAAAGAGTTCTGGAAGGAACATTACAATATCCTTTTCTGTGTGCAGGTATCTGAGAAATCCTGTGCCATTGTCTAAGGCAATGAGATTTGCCTGTGCACAGGAGAAAGACTTTGAAGGCCTGAGCCTTCAACTGACCAACTTGAGTTACAACCTGCCCTTGGGAACAAATTGAGTTCCTAAGTCAAGGGTCCACTGTAAAAGCAAACTTATGCTATTCAAACTTATTTTATTAAAGATGAAAATAAGAATTAAGATCTTACTAAAATGAATAAAATTCCACTACTAAATAAATGTTTTCAGTGCCACATGAGGTTCCCTTATTGACTGACTAATTGGTACCTGGGATCTAACTCAGGACCTTGAGCTTGCAAGGCAGGCAGCAGAACCACTAAGCTAAATCCCTGGCTCAAGGTTCCCTTATTGTGAAACATCATCAAAATTAGATGTAATAAAGTCCTGAACTTTAGAACAGTAAAACTGTTATTTGAGTATTAGGAAAAGTCTTTATAGTAGCTCAGCAGCTCATTGCCTGCCTGGCAAGCACAAGGTCCTGAGTTTGATTCCTGTACCCACCCTAAAAGTCTTTGTAAATGAAAAAAAAAATTTTAAAGTTTGATTTTATTTCTGGAACAGAAAATATATGAAATATATGCTTTAATTCCTATTTAGTTCTAACATAGTAAACTTTGTATCTGTCATTAAATTTTTTTGTTTTGTTTTTTGTGACAGGGTCTCACTATGTAGTTGAGACAGACCTGGAACTCACTATGTAGCCCAGGCTGGTCTAGAACTCACAGCAATCCTTCTGCCTCAGCCTCCCAGAGTGTTGGGATTACAGACGTGTGTTACCACGCCCAGCTGTCATTAAATATTTGAGATATACAGCATGAGTACAATATAAAACCAGGCACTTGGATTAAAAGGTTAAAGAACCCAAGGTTTTCAGTATTATAGGCTATGTTATATCAGAACTATACTGAAATCTGGGTTATCATTATTATAACCAAAAACATTCAATGGACTAAATCTGGATGAGAATAAAACTGTCTGGGAAGCCCTCCCTTCGAAAAGACAGAAATTTCAGATGATTCATACCTGTCTGTCATCTTACAGGTTAAGGCTGGCAAACTGATTCAGTTATAATTCAAAAAATATTTACAGAAGTTAAAGCAGTGAATACAACAGGGGGGAAAAACCCTTGCCTTTATCGAGCTTGCAGTACAGAGAGAAATAAGCAAAATTAATAAGCAAAATGATGACAATAATGGAGTGGCTCCATGTAATGAAAAGAAAGCTAACTAGCTGAGCAGGGTGGCACACACCTATAACCCTAGCTACTCAGGAAGCTAAGGAAGGAGGATCCTAAATTCAAAGCTAGCCTGGGCAGCTCAGTAAAACACAAACAAACAGGCTGTAAATGTGGCTCAGTGGTACAGCATGGGTGAGGCCTTGAGTCCATTCCCCAATACAAAAAAAGAAAAAGAAGAAAGCAAAGCAAATTCAATGCTAATTAAAGAATGTACACACTACTAAAAAAATTTAAAAACCTCAGCAAAAATGTTGTTTACTTTGTTAGTACACAAACTTGTTTGTTTAACAAGCCTTGCTTCTCTCCAATCTTCCTTGAACTCCTAGCACTCCCAAACTTCTGAATAAGGTGTAGAACAATCTCAAGTAAAATTATGCCTGATCTCTAACAAGACCTCTACTGAATGCCATGACTTCCCTTTGTTAAAGATTCTTTAAGATAATGTAGCTAGTACAAATACAGAAATAATTTTAATCTTGCTGCCTAGCAAAGATTTCCTAACTTATTATCTGGGGTGGATACTGTTTTCTGAGGGCAATCTTGACAGGTAAACAGAGCTGGATGCAGCCGGGCATGGTAGTGCATGCCTGTAACCCCAGCACTCGGGAAGCTGAGGCAGGAGGATTGCTGTGAGTTAGAGACCAGCCTGGGCTACACAGTGAGTTCCAGGGCAGCCTGAACTAGATAATGAGACCCTGTCTCAAAATAAAATAAAACAAAACAAAACCAGCTGGATGCCGCATTTATTTTGAGTTTGCTGTAAGATGTAGAGGATGGCGCTCATTAATGTCAAAAAGACTTTCCAACATACAGGGAAAGGTAACATCTTCATCTGTGTTTTCATTTTAATGATCTTGCTTAGAATTTCAGCAAAATGAAAATAAATTCCTTTAGCTACATGAAATGCTAACAAACTTGGACAGAGCTGACTTGTACCAAGACAATGGAAAAACTGAAGTAAAGTTTATAAAGGCATGAAAACATTTAAATAAAGCAAAGAGTGGAATCTAACAAGTCTTTTAGAAAGCTCTTATAATTGAACTTTTCAATTAGTTGATACAGGCTTAATGTTCACTGGTGTTGTCTAAGTCAGTACATGGCAAAACAGCAGAGAACTCCAGGGTATCTGAAGGTGTTACTCTTAAAATACTACACACCACAAATTGCCAAGTAGAGTAATTTTGGATTACTTTATATCTCAGAATATATATACTAGCTTTCCTTTTCCAAAATATGTTATGTACATGTACCAACTCTTCATGATGGATGCAATCATTATGTACTGCAAACATGCTAATATTTTTTAAAATTCACTGTTTCACATACACTCAAAACAAATCCCCTAACAAAATCTCATTATGAACATTTTCTAAATTAGTTATTTAAGACAGTGAGATTTAATGCCTCTCTCTCTCTCTCTCTCTCTCTCTCTCTATTTATGTACATGTACCAACTCTTCATGATGGATGCAATCATTATGTACTGCAAACATGCTAATATTTTTTAAAATTCACTGTTTCACATACACTCAAAACAAATCCCCTAACAAAATCTCATTATGAACATTTTCTAAATTAGTTATTTAAGACAGTGAGATTTAATGCCTCTCTCTCTCTCTCTCTCTCTCTCTCTCTATATACTTTCTCAGTGAGCTGCGCTTTCAGCTCCTTTATTTTGTGACAGTGTCTCCCTAAGTAAACTGCCCAGGCAGGCTTGAATTTATGATCCTCCTGCCTCAGCCTCTCAGAGTGAGATTACAAGGGTGTGCCACTATGCCCGGCCCTTACTCATTTTTAAAAGTTTTAAACACATAAATATATGGTGTTTATTAACAAAATAAGATTACACATCCAACAGGTTAATTTTCAGTCATATTTTAAATTTCTATACTGTTCCCAAGTAAAAAATCTTATTAAAAGATGCAAGGTTCTTTCATTACACTTAATAATTGTGTAGCACTGGGCAAACTGCTCAATCTCATCTTAAAAAATGGAGCTATCAGGCTAGGTAGCTCAGTGGTTCTGCCATCTGCCTTCCAAACACAAGGACTGGAGTTTGATCCCTGGTGCCAAAAAAAAAAAAAAAAAAAAAAAAAAAAAGGAGACATTAAAGCATCTAACTTTTGAGTTGTGAGGATTAAATGAGTTAACACATGGCTAGAACATAGGAAACCCCCAATAAATGTCCCTAAACACCATATTCTCAAAAAAAAAAAATCTCTTTGGATTATACTTTTTTCTTGGGGGGGGTGCATAACCATAACCACCCTCATCTGGTACATTATATAGAAAATCATGCAGAGTTTAAAATACTTTTTTTCTTACCATTCACAAATAAAGGAAAGCAATT